TATATATATATATATATATATATATATATATATATATATATGTATATATATCGCATTAAACAACTTATTTTTTTCACCTCAACACTCACGAAATTATATGTGATATGAAATTGCCTATCCAAATTTGCCGCATAACTAACAATTATGCGGGATTTTATCATATATATACTAATGTATATTCAAACCAGACGCATAGTTAACAATACGAAATACATTCGCATATAAAATAACCGTATATCCAAATCCACCGCATAATTTTTCTTATGCGAATTTATTTCGCATATATAGTTATCGAATTTCCAAATTGATACCATCAGTATATTTTATGATTATGAAGTATTCGCATATTCTATGTCTCGCATATCTAAATCGAACGCATAGTTAACTAGTATGTGAAACACTTATGCATATTTTATTTCACATATATAGTTATCGCATATCCAAATTGATAGCAACATATTTTATAATTATGCGACATGTTTTCGCATATTTTATGTCTCGCATATCCAAATTGAACGCATAGTTAACAAATATGCGAAACACTTACGCATATTATGTAATCACATATCCAAATCGAATGTCGCATATTTTATGAGTATGCGACATGTCTTTTCATAGTTTTCATCTTGCATATCCAAACTCGCAGCATAATTTACCATATGCAGTAACGTTTCGCATATTCATGACTCACATATCCAAATCGAACGTCACATATTTTATGTTATGCGACATATTTTCGCATAGTTTTTTACAAATCGCATATCCAAATCCACTTCATAATTTACCATTATGTTTCGCATATTCAAGAATCGAATATCCAAATCGAACGTCGCATATTTTATGTTATGCGACATTTTTTCGCAAAGGTTACGACTCACATATCTAATTCTACCACATAATTTACCATATGTGATATCATCTTGCATATTCCAAAATCAAATATTCAAATTGAGCGTCGCATATTTAATGTTATGCGACATTTTCTTGCAAAGTTTACGACTCGCATACCTAAATCCACTGCATAATTTACCTTATGCAAGAACATTTCGGATATTCAAATATTGAATATCCAAATCTAACATCGCGTATTTTATATTATCCAACATATTTTTGCATAATTTACGACTCACGTATCCAAATCCACCGCATAATTTACCATATGCGAGAATGCTTAGCATATTCAAGAATGGCTTATCTAAATCGAACGTCGTATATTTTAAGTTGTACAATATTTTATCGCATAGTCATGTCTCGCATATCCAAATCCACCACTTAATTTACCATAGGAGATAATAATCCCTTCCCGCAATACATTAGTTGTGGTTTTTTGTTTGTTTGTTTTTTTTAGTATGTTTGTTTGTGTGTTAGGTTTTGTGTTTCGGGTTTATTTGTGTGTTCGCTCGGGTGGGAGTGTGTAGTATCCCTTGTGGGATCGACGATTCTCCATTATTGGAACTTTGCAGTCTTTTGTTGTGCTTGTGGGTGCGTTGTCTAGTTTTGCTAGCTTAATTTCAAGGAGGCCTTTGTATTTGTCCACACACTTTTATTCGATTTTCTTGTCTCATTCGGCTGGGAGTAGTGTCCTTGTTGTACATTTGTGTGTTTGTAGTAAAATCTCTATCGTTTAAAAAAAAAAAATTCAACGAAAAAACCAACGTAATATATTTTAATTAAAATTTCAATGGATATTTCAACTGTATATCTACCATTGGAATGATTCCAACAGAAATTCTAACGTAAATACTTTATTGGAATGACTTTTATAGTCGAATTTTAATTGAAACTTGACGATTCCAGCGACCATTTTTTCAATGGGTTATTAGCTTATTCCTACTCATATTTCAACCGCTGAAAAATTTATTGTTGGAATCGTAAAAATTCAACGGAAATTCAAATGGAAAACTCATTCCAATAGAATATTTTTATTGGATTTATGTTGTAATCCATTGAAAAACTTTAACGAAAATAACGACATTTAAATATCCATTGGATTGTCATTCGAATTTCAGTAGAATATTTTTGGTTTATAATTTCATTATTTTCTATTATTGTATAATTTTACAAAAATTCCAAAACTATATTAAAACCTTTTCATTTTCTCCATATTTTCAAAGAATAATACAAATTTCAGAGTTTCAATACTGATTTCTTTTCGAATAATGCTTCAGACAACATAATGGATGACAAACACTTCTAATTTATCCATATGTCATATTATTCAAAATCAGTATCGTTAAACTTGCATTTCATTTTATGCCAACCTCTATGTCAAAATTTTATATCAGTATAACATTTTTCTTAAAAAATATGCCAACCTCTATGTCAAAATTTTATAGAGAAAATTACTTCATCCACCACTAAGATTACTTTTATTTGCACATATACTAACCTTATTTTTTATTTGTGGTTTACCTAAACCCTAATTTGTATTTGTACTTATACCAGTCCATAATTAAATACTACCCAAAACTATGAATGAAAAAAAAAAAAAAAAAAAGNAAAAAAAAAAAAAAATCGCCCTCTCCCTTGAGAAGTATCCAGAACTTCTACATCTTCGTCTAATTCCTCTTCACCTTCACTCGTCCAATTCCTCTCCGTCTCCACCATCTCACATCAACAATGGTGAAATTGGGCGAAGGCGACAGACGGTGGATCGTGGAAAACCGCATCGATGGGAACTCGGTGGTTCTGTCACCGACGGGACCGATTTCCTCGAGTGACCAAGGATATTTTGACAGGAACTCAGTGGTTATGTCTACCGATGGACTCCATTTAGGTGCCCTATATTTCCGACGAGAGCGTCGGTGAGGATTCGGATCTCACAATCAAAGATGACGAGCCGATCGATAAGAGATTGAAGAAAGCGTTTATCTCCAAGGGGTTTGTCTTTGAAAAACTCAAGCAGTACATCGAGGCAATGGCGAGAGGCGGGCCGAGCAAAGAGCATTTGGATGTTAAGAAGGTCGCCACAATAAAGAAACCAGCGCAAGTGCTGTGGCCAAACCCGACAAGATCTTTTGTGTATATTTTTTGTATATATTCTGTATATCTTTTGTATATAGTGACAAACTTGGTTTATCTTCTGTATATTTTCTGTATATAATGATTAGATTGGTTTATCGGTTTATCTTCTATGTATATCTTCTGTATACTTAAACTGGTTGAATCTAATCCAAAACTGGGATTAAGACCAAAACTGCGGCCATGACCATGGAGCGTCCGTCAGATCTTGATGAGCGTTCCCCTCTTCAACAACCTCCGACCCTTGCTCTCAGCCCGAATCTGATCGATTGCAGCCCGGACGCGGCTTAAATCTGGGGCGAGCCCATCGAGGGGACGAAAGCGTAGCCCGATGCTCATCGATGAAATTGATGTTTATCAAAAANTTTAACAATCAGTACAATATTGCCCAATTTTATATCAATATAACATTTTTCTTAAAAAATAGTTATTTGGAAACACTTTCACAATAGTTATTAGAATGGAGGAAGAGGTTGCGGTCTATAACATTTTTCTTAAAAAATAGTTGTTTGGAAACACTTTCACAATATGTAAATTGCCCAATTTTATATCAGTATAACATTTTTCTTAAAAAATAGTTGTTTGGAAACACTATCACAATAGCTATTAGAATGGAGGAAAAGGGCGCGGTCCAGGTATAACATTTTTCTTAAAAAATAGTTGTTTGGAAACACTTTCACAATAGTTATTGAAATGGAGGAAGAGGGTGCGGTCCCACGCAGGTGAAGCGCACCATAAGAGGGTGAACCTAGGTACACCATAGTGAGGTTCCATCCCAAAACCAATTGGTGATGGGAGGAGTAGCCCACTAGACTGATAAACTATGATTATTTACCCTGTAAAATCAATGTGGAATAACTCACAAGTGATATTTCAACAATAGTTCATAAAACAACTTCACGTAGGAAACTTTTTTGTTTCTCTAAACTGAAATTTAAAATCAGTGACATATCAAAAAGTCTATTTCAAATAATTCACAAATAGAGATTATTTTAGAAATGGACGTGTAATCTAGGTATTCAAACATTTCACGAAATCTGATGGGCAGATCATAAATTTTACATTTATTTGTGTCTCAAATTTAAGTCAACTGTAATTCAACCACACTATCCTCAATATTATCAATATAGTTAAATAATATCAACCAATCATTTATATACATTCCATCAACTTTACTTCATTATTCATCCACTCACATAATTTTAACTAACCATCACTTCGAATTATTTTTCTCCTACTTTACATCAAAACAACTTTAATTATTTTATTTAAATATTATTGTAATATATCCATTTAACTAGCCATATCACATTTTTTTTTTTTTAAATTAACTATAGTTAAAAAAAAATTAGTTGAATCCATAAATGTTAACATAAAAGAGAAAATGCAATAAATGAACAGAAGAAAGAAAAACCATGAAAGCATCAATCAAGATTCATATTTTCTTCATGATAGGACATAACATCTTTCTTGTTCATCACCCCATAGGGTTACAAATATGGTAAGGGATATTTATATCTAACAACTCAATGATCCTACGGTTCCTATTTCTCCAACTTCATCGTCTTCGCATTGCAGTCATTTATATGATCATGCTTTTGTCTCTTCTTTCCCAAAGTTGTTCCTTGGTGACATGGCAGGGACTTCAGTTGACCAGTCTTGCATGCCTTACACATGCACGGTTTATTTTGCTTAGGTGGCTGAGATATCTTGTCCTCTTGTTCCATATGAATGGAATATCCACATGCAGGTTTTCCATAAATGCTATCATCTCCCCTCAGGCCAAAGGAGGTTGAAGGTAACAGTTGAAAAAGGTTTCTAAACCGAGTGAAGGCTTGCTGAGACAGTGGTTTAGTGAACATGTCACCAATCTAATCTAAAGATGGGACATGAAGTACCTTTAATATACCTCTAGCCACCTGCTCTCTAGAAAAGTGAAGATATATTTCTATATGTTTAGTACGGGCATGAAGTACTGGATTGGTTGACAGAGATATAGTGGTAAGGTTATCAACCCAGACAGTAGGAATTTGAGAGCAAGAAACAACCAATTCCTTGAGAAGAGAGGTAAGCCAGGTGATCTCTGCTGAAGCTTGAGCTAGGCTCATGTACTCGGCTTCAGTGCTAGATCTTGAGATAGAAGACTGCTTCTTTGAGCACCATGAGACTGGGTTCTTTCCTAGGTAGATGCATACACCAGAAGTTGATCTTCTGTCATCAAGATCATTTGCCCAGTCTGAATCTGAAAACCCCGTGAGATGGATACTGGTATTTTTGGTGTAATGCAAACCATAGAATAGTGTACCTGCTAAGTACCTCAATATACGTTTGATAGCTTTCCAATGAACATCCATAGGGCATTGCATAAATTGACACACCTTGTTGACACTAAAGGATATGGCTGGCCTAGTAATGCAAGCATACTAAAGAGAGCCAACCACACTTCTATAAAGTGTGGGATTGTCCATAGGAGACCCTTGATTTCTGGTAAGTGTTGAAGATGATATCATAGGTGTGGGAAGAGGTTTAGCATCAATCATGTTGGTCTTGGTGAGAATGTCCTTTATATACTGAGTTTGGGTTAATAGAAGGCCTGACTGAAGATGATTGATTTCAATGCCAAGAAATTGATAGACCTCTCCCAGATGCTTTAAAGAGAATTTTTTATGTAGAATGCCAATAACAGCTGAAACATCAGCTACATTGGATCCTGTGATCAATATATCATCCACATAGACTAGAAGCCATACACAAGAGGAACTGGTTTGGTTGATGTAGAGAGAGCTGTCAGATGTGGAGTTATGAAACCCAAGAGACAACAGTGTTTGTTTCAGTTTATTGAACCAGGCTCGAGTGGTCTGTTTAAGGCTATAAAGAGACCTATGTAGCTTGCAAACCATATGAGGGTTCTGTGGGTCTTCAAAACCAGATGGTTGAGACATTTAGAGGTCTTCAGTGATCTCACCATTCAAGAAAGCATTGTTAAAATCAAGGTGCTTGATGCACCAGCCATGTGATACGGCCAAAGATAAGACTACTCTTATAGTAGTAGGCTTTACAACAGGGCTAAAGGTCTCATAGAAATCAATACCTTCAGCCTGATTATAGCCTTTTGCTACAAATCTTGCTTTGCGTCTTGCAACACTCCCATCAGCATGCCTCTTTAGTTTAAATAGCCACTTACAGCCAATGATAGACCTGTTTGGAGGTTGAGGAACAAGAGACCATGTCTTGTTGGTCAGTAAGGCCTTATATTCAGAATCCATGGCTGCTTTCCATGTAGGGTGAGAGATGGCCTCTTTGTAAGATGATGGTTCCACCTCATTAAGTTGAGCAGAAAATAGCCTTGGTTTGCTTGATCCTGTTTTAGACCTGGTGATCATAGGGTGTACAGGAGCAATATCATTAGTAGCAATGGATTCAGGTGAGGCATTGGTTCTCACAATAGACAACTCAACATAAAGGGGAATAGTTGAATGAGTGGATTGGCTGTTAGGATTGGATGAAGAAGTGGATGTTGCTGAGCGGGGAGAATGAGCCTGTAAAGGAGAGTGACTGTGTGAGGGTGATGAATGTGGTGGTATAATTGGATGAGTATTTACAGGTATAGAGAAATGTGGTGGGTTGTGAACAATGGGGGGAGGAAGGTGTAAAAATGAGGAGAGCATGTTTGAGTTTGAGTGTGCAGGAGATGATTTTGAGAAAGGGAACTGAGTCTCATAAAAAATGACATCTCTTGAGACTATGACTTTTCCTGAGGGAAGTAAGACCTTACAACCTTTGTGTTTAGAGCTGAAACCAATGATTGTTGAAGGTAGAGACCTGGGTTGAAGTTTGTGTTTGTTGTAGGATCTAAGGTTTGGGTAGCACAGATAGCCAAAAATCTTTAGGTTTGTGACCATACAAAGTTTCTAAGGGAAAATTGAATTTTAGAGACTTGACAGGTAACCTATTGAGTATTTAAATGGCAGCACTGAATACATCATCCCAGTGAGAGAGAGGTATATGAGAGTGATATAAAAGAGCTAAGCCCATCTCAACAATAGTCCTATTTCTCATCTCTGCCACACCATTTTGAGCAGGAGTGTAAGGACAAGACAATTTGTGATTAATCCCTGAATCAGTAAAGACAGAAGTGAGGGCTCTGAACTCACCACCCCAGTCACTTTGTATGGCCTTTATCTTGTGGTTTAATTGGTTTTCAGCTAAGTTTTTGAAGTGGATGAAGGCATCTTTGACCTCTGATTTAAGTTTGAGAAAGTATATCCAGGTGTATTTGGTATAATGATCAACAAAGCACACATAGTACTGAGAACCATTGGTGGATTTTATAGGTGATGGTCCCCACACATCAGTGTGAACTAGTTTTAGTGGATAAGTATAAATTGCATAAGAGGGAGTGTAAGGTAAAGCATGAGATTTGGCTTGTTGACAAGAACAGCATATAAATTTATCATTCATTGAAACTGGAATATTACAAGATCTCATTACTTTGGAAACAACATCAAAAGCAGCATGCCCTAGTCTAGAGTGCCATAAGGCCAAATCATTGTTCTTATTGAAAGTAGAAACATGAGCAGAAAATAAAGGAGAGCTGGAAGACTTATGAGTCACATGAGATGAGGGTGGAGAGCAATGGTTGTCAAAGCTGTAGAGACCTCCTTTAAGTGAACCTTGGAGAAGAACTTGATGAGTGGCTTGATCCTTGACAAAGCAAACAGTGGGGTAAAATTCAAAATAAACAGAATTGTCATGAGCAAACTGAAAAACACTTAGTAGGTTCTTAGTTATATGAGGAACATGAAGTAAATTTTTAAGAGTGAATGATCTGAAGGGATTTGAGGGATTATGAACTGTTGTGTTGCCAATGTGAGAAATAGACAAACCTAAGCCATTACCAACATGAAGCCTGTTGTTGCCTTGATATTCAGTTGCAAAGTTAAGATTAGAGAGATCACTTGTAACATGATTTGAGGCACCAGAATCAGCAAACCACATAGGTTCTGGGTTTGGATCAGAGGCAGTGACCATAACATTGAAGTGAGTAGGCAGTGAGGTGGTAGTTGAGGTTGTTGCTTGAGTTTGAACTGCCTGAGCCTGCATAGTGGTGGGGGGAGGGTATGTTGAGTCATATCTATGATAACACCTTTCAGTTGTGTGGTTATTGAGACCACAGAGTTGACATGAGGGTTTGTTGTTAGGGTTTCTGAATCCTCTACCCCCTCTTCCTCTGTAACCAGTAGATCTGCCTCTACCTCTTTGTGTGAAAGAGCCTCTTGTGTTGTGAAATATGAAAAAGGTAGATGGAAACCTCTGAGTGGATGTGTTGTGAGAGGCAAGATTCACACTAGGTAAAGATCCATCAGGATTGACTATGGATTGAGTTGTAACATCAAGTCTGGATTCAAGACTTAACAGCATTGCATAGACTTCATTTAGAGAGTATGGTTCAATCCTTGAGGTGACAGCAACACCAGCAGGATTGTACTCACTTTCAAGGCCAGCCAGGATATAAAGAATGTGATTTTGATCTGAGACAGGTTCACCAGCAACACCAAGAGCATCACAGCAGGCTTTCACTTTGCCCAAAAATTTTCTCATGGGACTAGAGCTTTTCTTTAAAGTTTGCAGCTGTAACTTATGATGCATAAGTCTAGCCTTAGAGAGACCAGAGAAGTTAGCTTTAAGGGATTGCCACACATCACAAGATGTGTTCTTGCCAACCATCATGATTAAGAGATTTTCACTGAGGGAAGACAACAGCCAAGAGAGGAGGAGTTGATCTTGTCTGAGCCAGATGGCATATTCTGGGTTAAGGGTGGGCTGAGAGGAGGTTTTTGTAGAGAAAAAACGACTGGGAGGGGTACTGTCTGTTGCAATAAACTTCTCCAAACCATAACCCACAATAGCACTGTAGGTTTGTTGCCTCCATAGAAGATAGTTGGCATCTGTGAGTTTGATAGAGATTAGTTGGTGTTGAGGATGGATAAAAGAAGAGTTATTGTTGTTTGAAGGATAAGATGTACTGTTTGAAGAGGTGTGAGAGGCCATGATACTCAATGAAAGGACTAAATCTGGCAGGTAAGATTTAAACAAAAAACCAGGTCTGAGGGAATAATGTTACTATGACACCAAGCTCGTGGCCCAATAGATGATCTCGGCTCGTGATACCATGTTAACATAAAAGAGGAAATGCAATAAATGAACAGAAGAAAGAAAAACCATGAAAGCATCAATCAGGATTCATATTTTCTTCATGATAGGACATAACATCTTTCTTGTTCATCACTCCCTAGGGTTACAAATATGTAAGGGATATTTATATCTAACAACTCAATGATCCTACGGTTCCTATTTCTCCAACATCACCATCTTTGCATTGCTGTCATTTATATGATCATGCTTTTGTCTCTTCTTTCCCAAAGTTGTTCCTTGGTGACATGGCAGAGACTTCAGTTGACCAGTCTTGCATGCCTTGCACATGCACGATTTATTTTGTTTAGGTGGTTGAGATACCTTGTCCTCTTGTTCCATATGAATGGAATATCCACATGCAGGTTTGGCATCATATATGCTATCAATAAACAATCACCCCTTAGAGATTGGGGCATATTGTTTCGCTTCTCTTAATTAATAACGTACACAACACTTAATTATGCGGAGGGTCCATTAAAGTCAAGGTTGTTACATTAAGTCAGAAATTCAGATGTCTTTTCCTCTTAAATCTATAAGCTACTCCCTAATTATATGAATTTTGGGTTAATAAAATTCATGTGTGCCCTTAAACAAGGATTAAAGCCATCAATTCTTTATTCCTTTACCATGAAAAATTCGTATACATGATGATCAAATGAAATAAAGGTGCCTTAAAAAAAATTGAGGATGTATAGTTAAAAGACTGGTTTCAGCTGAAGGAGAAATGGGTAACGGGCCATTTTCTGGCATAATTGAAAGGTACATTGGAGTTTACTTGACGTTAGGCAGATTGTGGTTTGCCCCTCTCTACTCTCACCTATGGCATAGCTTTTTAATTAATTAAACTTAATGATGTTTGCAAATGGAAATTTTCATTGGTTATAATAAGACCATCATATGCTTTCAAATACTCCTACAAAATACAAAGATTTACGATATAATACATGTCGAAATTAAGAAAAGATAAAAATATTTAATACAGTTCGCGGTGTACATCATTGTGGTCAATAATATACATTGAATTTTGGGAAGTAATATTAATGTATATCTTAATTTATTAGATCAAATAGCCAGATGGAAATACATCCTTTTCCATCTTACCTCAGCCATTACATCATTAACCTTGCTTTGCTCCTTCCCTAATCAAGTGGCCAATTTTTTTTTTTTTCCCAATCAAGTCAGTTGCACTATCGTGTGCCTAGGCACACCTTGCTAGGTGTGCCATGCCCGATTTGCACGCGCTGCTCATTCTCAAAAAGCTCAAAAAGCTAGAAAATTTAGAAGGTGTAGTGCACTCTCCCAATTTTTATTTTTTAATGAAAAAATGAGACATATTACATAAATTAAAATATCATTAATTATTTATATTAAAAAAATAAAATAAAAATACCAAAATTCATAATTTTTCATTATCTATAAATAGAGACCACATTTGATAGGTTTTTGAACACAACTAATTTTCGTTTTTTGGTAACATGTTCACCTTATTGTGTATGTAAGATGTTCATTTTATTCTATAACATGTCATTTTATTATGTAACATGTTCATCTTATTCTATAACATGTTCATTTTATTATGTAACATGTTCATTTTATTCTATAACATGTTCATCTAATTTTCATCTGTGAAAATGTAACATTTTCATCTTATTAGAGAAGATTTTGGTTTGTGAAGGTGGAGGATATTCGATCGAAAGACTAATTTATGAAATTTCTTTTACATTCTACTAGTTTTTCACTTTCATTCCATATAGTATGACTATTGCATAAATTTGAGTTCTTATATGTAGATTATGGTTTATTATTTCAAGGCGGGGGTGCTTGCATTAAACGAGTGAAAGTCGAGCAAGAAATTGACCAGAATTTTGTGTATCAAGTGGAAATTGGAGAAAATAATGTGAGAGCCCGTGATGTAGATATGGAATCTAAACATGTCCATCTTATTCTATAACATGTCCAACTTATTCTATAACATGTTTATTTTATTATGTAACATGTTCATCTTATTCTATAACATGTTCATTTTATTATGTAACATGTTCATCTTATCGTATAACATGTTCATTTTATTATGTAACATGTTCATCTTATTTTATAACATGTTCATCTAAATTTCATATGTGAAAAATGTAACATTTTCATCTTATTAGAGAGGATTTTGGTTTGTGAAGGTGGAGGATATTCGATCGAAAGACCAATTTATGAAATTTATTTTACATTCTACTAGTTTTTCACTTTCATTCTCTATAGTATGACTATTGCATAAATTTGAGTTCTTATCTGTAGATTATGGTTTATTATTTCAGGGCGGAGATGCTTGCATTAAACGAGTGAAAGTCGAGCAAGAAATTGACCAGAATTTTATATATGAAGTGGAAATTGGAGAAAATAATGTGAGAGCCCGTGATGTAGATATGGAATCTAAACATGTCCATCTTATTCTATAACATGTTTATTTTATTATGTAACATGTTCATCTTATTCTATAACATGTTCATTTTATTATGTAACATGTTCATCTTATCGTATAACATGTTCATTTTATTATGTAACATGTTCATCTTATTTTATAACATGTTCATCTAAATTTCATATGTGAAAAATGTAACATTTTCATCTTATTAGAGAGGATTTTGGTTTGTGAAGGTGGAGGATATTCGATCGAAAGACTAATTTATGAAATTTATTTTACATTCTACTAGTTTTTCACTTTCATTCCCTATAGTATGACTATTGCATAAATTTGAGTTCTTATCTGTAGATTATGGTTTATTATTTCAGGGCGGAGATGCTTGCATTAAACGAGTGAAAGTCGAGCAAGAAATTGACCAGAATTTTATATATGAAGTGGAAATTGGAGAAAATAATGTGAGAGCCCGTGATGTAGATATGGAATCTAAACATGTTCATCTTATTCTATAACATGTTCATTTTATTATATAACATGTTCATCTTATCGTATAACATGTTCATTTTATTATGTAACATGTTCATCTTATTTTATAACATGTTCATCTAAATTTCATATGTGAAAAATATAACATTTTCATCTTATTAGAGAGGATTTTGATTTGTGAAGGTGGAGGATATTCGATCGAAAGACTAATTTATGAAATTTATTTTACATTCTACTAGTTTTTCACTTTCATTCCCTATAGTATGACTATTGCATAAATTTGATTTCTTATCTGTAGATTATGGTTTATTATTTCAGGGCGGAGATGCTTGCATTAAACGAGTGAAAGTCGAGCAAGAAATTGACTAGAATTTTATATATGAAGTGGAAATTGAGAAAATAATGTGAGAGCCCGTGATGTATATATGGAATCTAAACATGTTCATCTTATTCTATTACATGTTCATTTTATTATGTAACATGTTCATCTAAATTTCATCTCTGAAAAATATAACATTTTCATCTTATTCTATGACATGTTCATCTTACTCTATAACATGTTAATCTTACTATGTAACATATTTATCTAATTATATATTTGCGTTATAATCTTCCAATAAGATAAATTAATTGTAAAAAATGATAAATTAATTGTGTTCCAATGTTCATATGTTCATCTTACTATATAACATATTCATATGTTCATCTTATTTTATAACACGTTCATATGTTCATCTTATTGTGTAAATATGTAACATGTTCATCTTATTCTATAACATGTTCATCTTGTTATGTAACATGTTCATCTTATTGTATAAAATGTTCATCTAAATTCCATCTGTAAAATTATAACATTCTCATCTTGTTCTATAACATGTTCATTTTACTATATAACATGCGCATCTTAGTATGTAACATGTTCATCTTATTATATATTTGTGTCATCACCTTCCAAAAAGATAATTTAATTATAAAAAAGGATAAATTAATTGTGTTCCAAAACTTATCAAATGTGGTCTCTATTTGTAGGGATTGAAAAATTATGAATTTTGGTATTTTTATTTTTATTTTTTAATATAAAATGTGAATAATAATTTAATTTATATAATATGATATGTAAAATTTATTATCCAATATATATTGGACACTTGTCTTTTTTAAACAAAAAAAGAAAAACTTGCATACCTTATTATCTCTCTCTCTGCGCGTGCACCTAGGATTTGGACAGGATTTTTATTTGTAAAGCCACGCTCTTTTTTCTTACGTGTAGCCACTCTCTGCCTTGGTACACCTAGCAAGGTGTACCTAGGTGCAGTAAGTATTTGCGCAATCAAGTGGCCAATTGAAAAGACAAAAACATTTAAGAAATGGGAAATTGTTGTCTCGTGGATCACATGCGTAATTCCTTTGTATCTATAAAGAAATTCGTTAAAACTTGACTCCTGTGCTGTTCACATCTATTTTCTCTTTAAGCAATAGCTTTTGCAACGACCAACCGGGTATGAGGTATCATAACCCCAGACAAAGTAGGAACAAGATAAATTAAGATTGATAATATTATCATGTTGAAACAGTTCAATCAGCCTTTTCAAAACAATTATTAGTGGATTCAGATAATTTAAAATATGTTATTTATATATATTGAAAGAAGTTGTTGGAATAATTTAAAATAATAATTTTGATTTTTGTAATTAAAAATGTTGACTTAATCTTAAATGAAATATACTAAAAAAATATATTAATATTTTTTGAAAAAATAAATAAAAATTAAATTATACTTATCTGTTGTAAATCATGCAATTCGGTTAATAAAATGACTTTCTATATAAATAAAGTCATATCAATTTAAAAAGTTATTTTGTAATAATTATCACAATAAAAAATCACTACAAAAAAAAAATGTCATATTCTAACGGTAATATATTTTAATGAAAATTCCAACGGATATTCTAATGGTATAACTTCCGTTGGAATATGAGTTTTCCATTAGAATTTAGATGGAATTTTTATCATTCCAATGGTAGTTCACGCTGGGTGTTTGACCGGGGTGTGGTAACGTTGAGATCTCCCGTTCGGTGGGGAGGGCTTTTGGTTTTTTTGTTTTAAGTTTTTAGTGTTTTGTGTTTGTTTTTATGTGTTTGTTTTGTTGTGTGTTTTCGTTTCCAGTGGTTAGTTGTGTTTTTGTTTCGATCGTGTGGGCTCTGTTTTCTCTCCTGCTAGGAGTTTTGTTTGTTCTTCTATTGGAAGTCCATGTATTTCAATTTTGTGTTGTAGATGGTTTGGTCCTAGGCTCCCTCGGGCTTTCTGCCTCTATGGGGTTTGTTTTTCCAACTAGATTCAACTAAGTAGCTGACTTATTTAATTGTTTAGTTGCTTTCTAGTTTGTAATTTTGTGCTTTTCATTAATGAAAATTTATCGTTGTGGAAAAAAGAAAAAAAATGACCGTCCACTATAAATCTTGTTCAATTTCTCATTACTATTCTCAAGACTTTTCCTTTGAACAGTTCTTCATGTGGAATAAATACAAAAGAGCAATGTGTACAATCTCGAGCCATCTTTATTGTGGTAGGGCATACATAGTACGGACCTTCAATAATTCGAAAACAACACGCAATTTCTGTCACTAAATTTTTAACTCGTGTGAACGTAAAGAAAATCACAACCAATGTGAGATGCAACTTAAAAAAATCCCATTAAAAAAGAAAAAAAAAAAAACGTGTGCTCATCAAAATCAAATCCATGTTAAATTCTGGTATCATATTATATATCCCTCACCACTCCACATGCATGATGCAACACTTTGGTCACCACTCGCTCCACCATCACCCCTAATTCGAAAACGAAAAAATCGTTTCTTACAAGGGTTTAGTCACAATTTTCACACGTGCGTGTATGACATTTGTGACTAAAGATTCCATGGGAGACAGTTTCCATATTGTAGGATGGAACTTTCCTTGGGAAAAAATAAATCAAAACGCTGGAGCACATGTTGATGATTATTAAATTGAACTCATAATATCTTAAAGGACATCGAAAATTTTACATGTAAAAGCTAAGATGCATGTGCACCAAATTATTACATTAACACGAATGCTCGATTGAGATTGATTATGTTGTTGTTAAGTTTAAACGTCCTCAATTATCACATAGCAATACCAAACAGTAAAAATAACTTAGTTAACGCTTCAATACTCCAACCTCCTAAGCAGAGCTTCCCTGAGTGCGGCCTCTCCCCTGAGCCCTTGTGGCAGGCGGACCACAACGTCCTGCATCATGAGCCCGTTGACACATGACATGCTGGCGTGGTGCACCGTCAGCTCCAAGTCTCTCACTGCCCCCATGAGCCGAGCCGCCGGGTGGTCCTCGTTCCCCGACTGCACCCTTATCATCCCGTCTGGCCCCACAATCTTGACCTCGACCTCGACCCTCTGCCCCACCGACGACGCCGTGCAAGTGCTCTGCCCGTCGGCGGCCTCGGCCTTGATCGTCCGCCCGTGGAGACGCGACTCGAGGTCGTCCACCCTCGTCCGCAGCTCGTTTATATACGAGACGGCGTCCGAGAGGAGGGACGCCTTGTCCATCCTCGACACGTTGGGGACCACCGACCGCAGCGCGTAGAATCGGTGGTTCAGCTTCTCCCTCCTCTGCCTCTCCGCCTCCACGTGGTTCAGCGGGCCTTCCCTCCCCACTACCCCGGGCTTCCGACCCCTCTTCTTCCGCGCTCTGTTCTCGTCGACGAGGAACTGGCACTGCTCCGAATCCGACTGCGACTGCTCGGACGACAGGGAGTACTTGTTCGCGAAGGAAATTAATTTCTCGCCGTCTCCGTCGAAGGCCGTCCGGACGAGGTGGACGAGGGCCCAGTTCTCGGGGACGGCGGAGTCGGAGCCGAGCTCCAGGACGCCGGCGCCGCTGGGAGTGGGGATGCAGACCATGGTGTGCATGCCGTGGGCCTGGGCCTCGCGGGCCCGGTGGCAGTTGTAGAGACGGAGCTGGTTGGGCCCGGTTAGCCAGATGAGGGAGCCGGACCCGAAAGCCCGACCGACTATGCCTTCTCCAGGGGGGATGGATTGGGCGAGGGACATCACGTAGAACCACTCGGCGTCGGTGACGTCGGAAGCTGGTGGGGTGGGGGTATCGGGGCCGATGAGGGCGTGGATGCCGCGCATGACCTTGCGGCGCTCGGGCTGGAGGGGGGATCCGGAGTGAGACTTGGTGCCCTGGAAGTGGCCGTCGGCCCAGCTGAGGGAGATGCGGCCGGAGTCGTCTTTGGAGGACTGCCAGAGGATGGCGTAGGCCCAGCAGTCGGGCTGGGACTGGAGGATGTACTGGAGCTTCTTCTGGGGAGGATGTTGTGAATTGTGAGACACGGGGGTTGAGGAGGAGGAATTAATTGGTGGGATATTGGTAAACTCGTCCATGGAGAATTCCCTTTTTCTTTTTTTTCTTTTTTTTTTTTGTTTGGGGGGAAGTGTGTGCGTTGGGATTTGGGCGAGGAGAAGAGTGTTGGAGCCTGAATGAGTGAAGGATTTCTGGAGTGGAGGGGGCACACAAAAGAGTGATTCGGAGGGCAATGTTGTCAAGTTTTTTTGCAAGTAAGAGAGGGCAGCATTCAATCTTGTGGTCTCTATCACAAGGACAATTATTTTTCTTTTACTGCATCAAAGTTTCACATACACGCCCCCACGTTCTCTCTCTGTCTCCCTGTTTTTATTTATTTTTTATTAAATAAATCAATCCATATACGGATTAAAAACAAAAGGTTAATGAAGCCCCATGGCCATATGTGGCATTGGTGGAAAGTATGATTATCACGTCATGTCCTCAATAATTTCACGCACATGAAAAGTGTTAAAACAAATTGGGCATGGCTATTGGCATGGTAGGACTACGACTTAATAGATTCAGAGTATTTCAAACCATATACGACAACGAACCTAAATTAATCAGAACCAAAAAATAACCGTTACTCGTTTGACTTTCTCCAAAACGTATATGATATGACATATTATACTAGGTCGCGTACGACCTAAAGAGCGATTTGACCGGATAAGATAAATCGGTGGGTCGGCCAGACATCATGGACACCAGAGGTCGAGGAATTGCCACGACGACGGTGACCTCACATGTAAGAAAACTCACCAATAGATCAAGATAGGGTCTGCTAGCCTTATGGAATTCGACCTGGAAGTCAGCAGGTCGATGTACGACCCAAAAAGTAGGCTCATCCACTGAAGGTCGAAGCAACTTGGTTCAAGGGATCCGAGTTGGTAGCACAATTACACCACCTAATGCGATAGTCTAATGTGAATATAATACATAATAAATAAGAAAGAATATAATTAAGATAAGAAGAACACGTGGATAGGACCACGAGACCTAACAGATTAGGGCAGTTTGGGAACCCCGACAGCACGAACGGGTAGTTCGGGCACTCAGGTAGCCCAACTTGGCAAACTTGGGCAACATGCTAAAATTCCTATATATAGAGATAAGGTATGATCATTTACACTCTACACACTCTAATATACATACACTCATCATCTTCTTCATCACTGTTCTGTGACTTTAGCGTCGGAGCTTCTATGTCGGGACAACTCCCGACGTTGTTCTGCATGTCTATCTACCGGTCGAGAGTAGATCCAAGGTCGTTCAATTCGGTCGAGATTGTTTGCACTACAATGTGCGTCGTATGTGGGACTTTCATTCAAGAAGCCTACAACACCACTTTTTATTGCAAACGAAGATCCCAGGAAAACCTGGAACCCGGCTTCGACCAGGTGTGGGTCATCGGCCGTCCGATTAGACCAGACCTACCACCAGGATTTTCAAGGTCATTCATAACGTCGATAACCCTAATTCAAACCCATCGGGTTTTAGAGGCTCTTCGGCATCCCCAACAGCAGATGAAGGCCAAATTGTTCAGCTAGAGGGCAGATCGGGCATAGAGGTACTCCAGGTAACCCCAATTCATCCAATTCCATTCTAGGTCAACAGGATGGGACCACCAGCAGTTGGATTGTACCACCAGGCCAGAAGGTCATCACTCTCACGAGAGAGAAGATGAACAAGATGATCGTACAGGTCGTTGACGCTAGGAGTGCTCAGCCACAGTCGAGCGTGATAAACCCTACTATGATGAAAAGAAGGGATGAGGTCGAGATTTTCAGCATCTCGGCCCTTGGAGCTCAGCTTGACCTGGATGTAAAGAGGATGACATCTCATATTCATGAGTTGCTAGCATGGAGGGGAAGCGGGCTATGAGAGCTCAAGGGAACCTCTTTTTCCAAGAGGTTCTAGATGCATATTTGTCCAGAGGATTTAAAGAGCTCAACATCACATCCATTGACTTGTCTCGCCATTTGAGGTCATTAGAGAATATATCTGTTTTTCATAACTACGCTGATGTTGTGAGACGCCGAGATTTTTTGGCGACCTTGAGAGGATGATCTCAAGACTGGTTTCATCAGATTGCCTCAGAGTTAATGAAAGACTTTAAGGATTTCGAAACTATTTCCCTCAACCAATTTGCCAGTGCCAGGCTACATAAGAATCCATATCTTACATTAATGGCGATGCAGACCTCCAGGTAGATTCGTACTAGTGACTATCATTTCAAGTCTCTATAACCTACCCGGCTTTTGACTATTATACGCCATTAACCTAAGTTCATGAATGATTGTATGGTTACTTACTAGTGCAATCGGCATCAACCAGTCCCACTAATAAGTAACTCTACTAGTGCTGTCGGCATCAACCAGTACCGCTAGTAGAAAACTAACTACTTACTCGACCCACTGGCCCACAAACATATGTTGGGATCTGTGAGGATCTCGTTATGTACAAGTCACGAATTCAATAGCAAACGTAAACCTATGCGCAGCGGAACTCAAGGTTTGACGTAGAGAACTTACGGCTTAAAATTTATGTAGATCTGGCTGACCACGAACGGTTGACAACAATTGATTGACCGTAAATCACGTCTTGGGTTGCACGAACAAGATCAGATCAAACGGATGCAAACAGATCAAAACGAAACTTTGCAGCCTGAGAGCTTCCGGCAGTGCGTGAGGGCGCGTGTGGCGTCGGAATCCGGCGATCTCGACAGCGATGGAAAGCTCTCGTCGAGGCGGTCGTCTAGGTATGTTGTGCGTCTCAATCGGACCTCCGGTTAGTTCTGTAGGTCAAAATATATTTCGTCTCAATTTACCTACAAATCTTCTACTGTATTACTCAATACACCATTCTTCAACTTGTACCAATGGAGCAACAAGAAGAAGATAAAGCTCGAATAAGATCTAGAGAGAGAGAGAGAGGCATGGGGCGTGTGTTTGTATATGACAGATGTCTTCTCTTCTCATGAGCTTAATGATGTATATATAGAGCTACAGTAGGGACTCTTAGGAGATTAGGAAAAGGGCTCCATAATTAGTTAGACTAACTGTGGGCCAAGCCCACTTCTCTAATTAATTAAATAATATTAATGGGCCACCAACATTATATTATTGCACTCCCTTTTCCTAGCCCAAATTACATTTGAAACTCCAATAATAATTACTCGATTTACCTCCCCACGTTTAAGATATAATGTCCATTAATTAATTTGATTATTGACAATCAAGAATTAATTAATTTATTATTATTTCACTGAAACTAGCGCTCGTTCATCACATTCTTATTATGCCGGAACTTAATCCACCTGCAGGGTTTAGCATAACAATCCTTTATGAACTCACTCTGGGGACATCATCAAACTAATGCACATGGTGACCGTAAATATCCTAACAGCACATCCTATATATAATAATATTACTCAAAACAGTAGGAATATTAATCCAGCGAACCGAACCTCACCATTGTGAATCAAAGTAATATATATTATATATATCTGCCTGTTTAATATCTTACGGGTTAAGAGAACGCAGTAATTAACCGAGGCCTAGTTCATTTACGACGATTAGTATAAAATGAACTTCTCCTCTCTGGGATCCTGTTCAATACATAAATGTACTAGTGCAACTAATCAGTCAAGACAAACTGTACAGTTGACACACAACCGTTCGGATGGGGTGTTCATGTCCATCTAGGTTGTGAACAACTATTCTTGTTCGCAAGTGACTGATAGAGTGATCTTCAGTTCGCCCGATGACGACCCACCTTATCTAAGTGCAGAACAACAGAACGTAGAACTTTTTTAATCTAACACAATTCTCATTCATAAAGGGCAAAAGTGTAATAACATGCAAAGCCAAGCTTTCAGTATATAACACTAACAATCTCCCACTTATACTTAAAGCTTTCGCTTTTACAGTATAGTCCTATCAATCCGTTATTCTAAAAGACCTATGTCGATCCTATTGCCATGCTCATGATTTCCATTCCTTCTACGTGTTTGACGAAGACCTTCCTCGGTAAACTCTTCGTGAAAAGATCAGTTAGGTTGTTCTCTGATACAATCTTGGCAACATCAACGTCTCCTCTACCAACAATATCCCGAATCAGATGGTATTTGCGCTCTATGTGTTTGTTTGCCCTGTGGGCTCGAGGTTCTTTTGAGTTCGCTACTGCTCCACTGTTATCACAGTACATGGTGATACCACGTGGCAAACTCGGTATAACCTCTAAGTCCACTAAGAAGTTCCTGAGTGAAACTGTCTCTTTCGCTACCTCTGAGGCTGCTATGTACTCGGCTTCCATGGTGGAGTCTGCCACGCATTTCTGCTTAGCACTCCTCCAGGAAATGGCTCCACTTCCCAAGATAAACACATAGCCTAAGGTTGACTTACTTTCATCCCTATCTGACTGAAAATCGGAATCACTGTAACCTAGAGGTAACAAGCTGCCTGCACGGTAAACTAACATGTACTCTTTAGTCCTTCTCAGGTACTTGAGTATATGCTTCACCGCAGACCAATGTTCCCGTCCTGGATTACTTTGATATCTAGCTACCATGCCATCGGCGTAGCTAATATCCAGCCTAGAGCACAACATTGCATACATGAGACTTCCTACTGCCGAAGCATAAGGAACTGTCTCCATCTCTCTATCTCCTTAGACGTCTTAGAAGACATCTCCATAGATAGAGGTATTCCATGTCTGAAAGGTAACATACCTTTCTTGGAATCCTACATGCTGAATCTGGCTAAGACAGTATCTATGTATGAAGACTGGGATAAGCACAACATTCTCTTCTTACGATCTCGAATGAACCTAATACCAAGAATGTGTCCTGCTTCACCTAAGTCCTTCATATCAAACTGCTTAGACAACCACACCTTTACGTCTGATAACTCCTTCTTAGTGTTTCCAATAAGCAGTATGTCATCTACGTAAAGCACAAGAAACACCACCAGGCTCCCACTGATTTTCTTGTAAACACAGTGCTCATCCGGACATTGAGTGAACCCGTACGACTGGATCA